ATTTAGACTAAGTCTATGCTAATTCACAAATTACCTCAAACGCCATACATGGCATTTGATCCTTTAGATTGGCAAGTTTGAGCGCAGGAAAATACAGTATAGAATACAGAAACCAAATACTACATCGCCAATCTGGAATCATTCCATTCATGTCAACCATCCGCATTTGTACAAGTGTCGTCAAGTTCATGTGATCGCAAACGCTCGGCTGGTCAGGTTTGTATTTACTGCATTCGGTGTTTAAAAAAAACACAAAAAAAAACATGACACACCTTAAAATAAAGTGTTACCAAAAAACTAACCTACCCCAAATTTTAGTGTACCTCTTCTATAACTCCACTACCATAACCAATCGTTATGTGAGGAGCATTACCTTGGACCTTGAGCTGACTAACTCAAGCTGAGCAGTTTCTATGTCACTGATGAGCTGCCTGTTCTCCATGGCCAGAGATGTGTTCTCCTGTCTGATGGTGTTGAGCTTCCTCCTGAGTACAGACGTCTCTGTCTCCATGTCTCTGTCTGACTACAGATGAACACACACAAAAAAACAACAACTTTAAAATCAGTGGGTTTGGGGATCTATTTTACTAATAACTTAGCTAATAATTTAAAAGGTAACAACACTTTAGTCCATTTATCTGCTATATCTTCCCAGCATCCTACCCTGCAGTCAAAGATGGATATACGTGCACACACACCCTCTGCTCAGGGTGTGAATATGCTCCTCTTGGTTGTCCAGGAACAAAAGGTTCTGAAGGTCTTCTAAAGAATGACGACCTGGGAATCCGTCCACGGCACTTCTGTTATTATCCTCACCACTGATGTCATCTCCTGATCGACTGAAGTGAGTGCCAGTACAACCTTTTTTTTAATTATGAAATGCTAACAATACGAGAAATTCGATAATACTTACCAGTAGTGTTGTATCACAAAACGTGAATAATAATACCACAGTAAATATTTACAAAAAATATCAAAACAAACAACGACATTTAAAATTTTGTGGACCAAAGTGACATTTCTATAACTTAAACAACAGACATAAAACTGCATCTTGAATCATATCTGAAAGAGCTATCTATCATCAAGCAAAACCCACAATACATTTCAGCAATCCTCAACAAACTAAATGCCTCACCTCGACTGTAGGTTTTTCTCGGTTAATCTCAGCTGATTTCTCAAGGAAACAACATCCTCTACCAACCCCCTGTTGTCTTTGAACATTGGTGATTGTCATGAAGAGCGCTGTAAATAAATGTTATCTTTGTTTAAATGGACTTGGCTAAAAACCAACACTGAACTCGCACCATAGTTCTTGCTTTAAACACTTTCGAGTTATCATACCTAGCGTTACTGTATACTCAAATGATTTGGCTTCATTTCATGTATTCAACAGGTTGTCAAGGAGCAGACTGACCCTCTATCATCATTTTTCAGCTCTCCACTGCTTTTCGGTGGATTAATTAACAAGATATTTCTATACTATTGAATACCTGCTCATCAGCATGTTCAAAACAGCAGTTATGCAGAAGACCTTATTTCCAGAAGATTTAGCCTAGCATTCACTGCATTGAGATCTAAACAAAACGCGCTGCCGTCGTCGCTTCAGTTGATTGGCTGAGACGAAAAACCGTCCTCAACAGTCGTGACGTAACACTGACGTGCTAGGGCCGCGAATGTCAGGCGGCGAATATTACAGCGGTAAAGTTTCACTGTTGCTTTTTCCATTATATTTTTATTTACATTGTACTGTATGATGGTTAACAACAGCTGTTATTGCTTTGTTTATTTGTTAGGTTAAAGTTTGTCAATAGATTTGAAGGGAAAAATGTTTGGTTGTTATAAACAATCTCTGTTCGCTTGATACATTCACTGTCAATTATTTATTGCAGCAAATAAATTAGCAGGGCCATAAAATGTTAATTGCGTGTTCTGAATGCATTTTTCTCTTTTTCTCCAATGTGTTAATATGCATACATTAAATAAATATGCAAATACATTAGATTAGATTATTATTTATTGTCATTGTACTTACATCCAACGAAATTATAGATTTGCCAACGTACCCAGCTAAAGATAATTTAAACAATTAATAAGGAATAATTAAATACCATATTACACATAAGGGAAAAAATAAATAATAATAATTTTACACCGTGCTGAGTGAAATAAAGTGCTCAATGCTCAATATAATTACACATGACTGGTTCTTCTTACATGTCAAGAATGTATTTTCAGTTCAGTGTTCAGTATGGTTATAGCTTTAGGATAAAAACTGTTCATGAATCTTGTGGTACGTGTTTTGATAGACCTGTAACGTTTCCCAGATGGCAACAGTTCAAATAAGTTATGTGCAGGGTGATACGAGTCCTTCAGAATATTGTGTATTTTCTGCAGACAGTGGGAGGTAAAAATATCATCCAGGGCAGTCAGCCGTTATTTTGTGATGATGTTCTGTGCAGTCTTGATAACTCTCTGCAAAGCCTTTTTGTCAGCTGCAGAGCTACTTCCATACCACACCAGCATACCATATGTGAGGATACTCTGGATGGAGCAGCGGTAGAATGACAAGAGCCGTTGTGACAGGTTAACCTTCCTGAGCATTCTTAAAAAGTATAGCCGCTTCAGAGCCTTCTTAACTAAAGCCGTGATGTTTATCGTCCATGTGAGTTCCTCTGAGATATGTGTGCCCAGAAATTTAAAACTGAACACTCTCTCCACCATCTCCTCGTTGGTATACAATGGTGTATATACATCATGTTTCCTCCTGAAATCAATGTTATTTTGTTTTCTTGGTGTTCAGGGCCAGATTGTTCTCCGTGCACCACACCATCAGCCTCTTTATCTCCTCTCTGTAGGCAGACTCATCGCCTCTGGTGATCAACCCCACCACAGTCGTATCGTCCGCGAATTTGATAATAGTGTTGGTATTATACGATGGTATACAGTCATGTGTATACAGAGAATAGAGAAACGGGCTTAGCACACATCCCTGTGGGACTCCTGTGCTGATTGTCAAAATTGAGGAATTATGTGAGCCCATTCTCACTGACTGTGGCCGCTCTGTTAAAGAATCCTTGATCCACAGGCAGATGTTATGCTGAATGCCTAGATCAGACATCTTGGAGAACAATCTGCTAGGTAAAATAGTATTAAAAGCAGAACTGAAGTCCAAGAACAACAGCCGTGCATATGTTCCTTTGTGTTCTAGATGGCACAGTACAGTGTGGAGGGCAATGGAGATAGCATCATCTGTTGACCTACTGGCCCTGTATGCATACTGGTGAGGGTCCAAGGTGAGTGGCAGAACCAGTCTCTCCAGGCATTTCATGATTACAGGTGTCAGTGCAATAGGTCTGTAATCATTGAAAGATGTTATGGCAGCCTGTTTTGGCACTGGCACTATTGTGGACGTCTTCAGGCAAGTTGGAACAATGCACTTCAACAGAGAAAGGTTAAATATATTTGTAAGTACCTCACCCAGCTCACCACCAGTCTCTGAGGACGCGCCCCGGGATGCCATCCGGACCAGCTGCTTTCCGTGTGTTGATTTTACATAGAGTCCTTATCACCTCAGCAGGCTGAATGACAAATGTCTGGTTGTTTGCAGCAGAAGCTTGACTGATAGTAGTCCCAGTTCTTTTCACTTCAAAGCGCTAAAGAACTGGTTAAGCTGCTCTGCCTCTGAAGCACTGCTGTTGGTCAGGCTACTGTTATTCTGTCCAGTGATGTGGCGAATCCCCTGCCAGTTGGTGAAATGATTCTCGATTTTCTGCCTGTAGGTCATTTTTGCATCCCTGGTGCCTTTCTTTAGGTTCATCCTGGCTGTGCTGTACTGCTGCATGTCACCAGATCTGAGAGCTGAATTACGGGCCTTCAGCAAAAGTTTTACATTCTTGGTCATCCACGGCTTGCTGTTAGGAAAGATGTGAATCGTTTTCATAATGGTCACATTATCTATGCAGCATTTTATATAAAATAGCACAGAAGATGTGTAGATGTCAATGTTATCATTCACAAACACAGCAGGGCCATTGACATTTCTTAAATTATTTCTTGAATTTTTGACCAAATAATATGGGTCCAAAACATCTCAAAGCATTCAAAAACGCCAGTTACACCGATACATTTTTAGATCTTTATTCTTTGGCTAAAGGAGTCTGCTCAAAGCCAGGAAAATCCAAAGCAAGCTTTACTAACACTGGTACACCAACTGAATTATGCTTCATACAAATAACATAAGAGCTTAATATTTATAAGAATTTGTTGTATCAAAATCAGGAGGTATTAATGTTATTATAAAACAAAGTCCAAAACTTGCCTGATTCCAATACTACTTCCACCCTCTTCAAGTGGTTAGGTAATATTATCGAGAACAGGGCATTCTCAGGCCCCCCCCCCAAAAAAAAAAGTTTTCCACCAAAAATTTCATACAACTTGAGAATTTTAGAAATGTATGAAAACACTCAGCCAAGAACTGAAAATCTCATTTGGAAGTCCTATCAAATCTTAGATTGAAGTTGTAAATGATCCTGAGTGCTCATGTGAATTGACAATTTGTTAGTGTACACTGTTTGAATGCAATAAATAGCACTACAAAAAGCCTGAGTCAATTGTAACAAAAATATTGCTGCCATTTTCTGATTGTAACATGAAGCTGAAGCTGCAAAACAAAACAAAACAAAAATACACAGGTCTGTTGAATTAGTTGCATAGTATAACAGAAAGTATAAAAAAAAAAGACTATCCCTCCATCACAAAATGAAAATTAGACATCTGATTTAAAATTTTATAAATGAGGAAAATAAACTAAAACAGCACTTAGCCTAGAAAAAAAAACTAAAATTCCCATGGCTGATATTAACAGATTTTTTTTTTAAGGGAAGGATATACGAAGACCTCCTAACGCTACAGCGCTCTGTCATATGCTTTTAACAGATATTAAAAAAAAAAAAAAAACCTTGAGACAAAATATATATATATAAAATTTTTTTTTTGATTAGCCTTCTGGAAATGTGGAATGTCTCCAAAAATACCAAGATCTTATGTAAATATTAATGCTACTCATTTATTTAATTTGATGTTTTGTGGCAGGAGAATAATTAACCATTTTCCATTGTTTTTTAACATCATAATCTCATTTTATAATCAAATTCACAAGCTAGGCTGTTTAAACTGAGATGACACAATACTGGATGTACATGAGCTTCTGTGCAATCAGTTGAAATGTAAATAAAAGTGTCCTATTGACAATAGCGCTCTTTCCTCTTGGCAATTCGAGCTAGGAGAAAATATTTAACTGAATAAGGAGAAAAAAAATCTTGTCTCCAGCAGCATATAGGATCTGTTTCGCAATCCCTTAAGGCACCTCCACATCAGAGACAAAAAGCAAGGACTTGGGTTATTTTCACATAGTAGTGAATTGATCATGTCTTCAACCTGAAACTACAGCCACCTTCAATGTGTAAATCCAGTCCACTTGAAGGCAGTCTGTTTCAATTTCCACAGAGACAGGTCACATACACAAAACTCTACAAAGTCCCATTTCTTCATTATAGTCCTGAGGACCTTCAACTATATCAGTCAACCATATACATTTGGGCACTATCACTGCTCTTCTCTCATTACAGGTTATGTATTTATTGTCAAGAAATGAAGTACATTAGACCCATGTGAAGCTCAGGAGGCAGTGACGCCCTCCCATTCCACCAAGTACTGTACTTTGCCGTCATTAGTGACACGGCGAGCGAGCACACGGTACTTCTCCCCACAGGCCAGGCGCCCTGCAGCTCCGAAGTAAGTGCTGATGGAACTCTTGAGGTTGTTGAGCTGGGTGTTGGGGTCCAGGCCCTGCATGATGTCCATGCCACTGTAGAGGCAAGAGGGGAGGGGGCTGGGCTCAGGGACATTGTTGCTGGGTTGCAGCTCTGGGTTGCAGGGTGGAGGAATCTCTGGATTTGGGGGCTGCAGTGCTCGTCGTGGACGTCCCCGGCGTCTCTTAATTGGCGGTTGCGTGATGGTGGACCATAAGCATCCAGTGCGTGGTCCACTCGGACTGCCCAAACTGGAGATACACATATCAGGCAAAACAAGTTATAATCTGCTTTTGAAAAATGAAGCATGAAGTTCTTTATCTCTCATAGAGGTCATCAAGAGCATTAAGTTTGACGTCTGAACCTCACACATAAAAGAGACTAGAGTTTTGTTGTGCACAAAAAAAAAAAAAAAGAGTTAAAATTAAAACTTAAAACTAAAAAAAATAAATTTCTTAAAACAATTTTCATACATTTCATGAATTTCAAACTCACAAATGTACTGTAATAAAGTCCAGACGTGATCAGCTAGAAAAAAAAAGTAAAAAAAAAAACCTGGAAAATCTCACCACGTCTATTATTTAAAAAAAACATTTTTATCACATTAAAAGATATATCTTACATCTTAATATTAATAAATACCATTGTCCTGTAAAAATAAAACAGCATTTAATAAACATGATAATAATAAATATAATATAACATGTATTAATAGAATTGTTATTATTAAAGTACCTGCCAAAAGTTTAGAAACAGTTAATGATTTTGAAATAAAAAAAATTCTGCTCAACAAGGCTGCATTTAATTGATCAAAAAATAAAGTAAAAACAGCAATATTGTGAAATATTATTACATATTAAAAAAGTTTTCTATTTTAATATATTATAAATTGTAATTTATTCCTGTGATGCAAAGTAGAATTTTCTGCATCATTACTCCAGTTTTTAGTGTCATACGATCTTACAGAAATCATTACAATTTGATTTGATGCTCAAGAAACATTTCTGATTATTATCTGTTGAAAACAGTTGTGCTGCTTCATATTTTGTGTGGAAATGGATGGTGATACATTTTATTTTTCAGGATTCTTTGATAAATAGTAAGTTCAATGAACAGCATTTATTTGCATTTATCAAATATATTTCTTAAATTTATTAAAGCATTTATTAAATAAACTAAAAAGTAGAGCCCGACCGATATATAGTTTTGCCGATTTTATCGGCCAATATGAGCCTGTCGCAGATATATCGGTATCGGCGCCGCCGATATGAACAATTTTTTCAGAACATAAAATGCAGATAAAATGCTTGTAAATGGTGTAATTACGTAGTTTGTCCAGCAGAGACTCCATTGTTTGCTGGATGCTCCATTGTTTGCGACCTGGATGAAACACTTTAAAGCTTAAGTGTATGGAATACCATTGAAACTTTGAACGGCCCAATTCCCAATTATTTATATTCACGATTACTAGTATTTGTACAGGCTTTACATTTTTAGTTCAATGTTGTAATTAGCAATTCATGTAATTTTATCTTTGAAGCAGATTTGTTATGTGACAGCATTAATTAAAGTTTCTTAAGGGTCAAGATCAAGTTATCTGCATCTCCTGCGCTCCATCAAGCCACTCCCATAATAGCTGTCAGCACTCAAATTAATGCACGACTCAGATTAACTGTACGTGTGTAAGACTCTAATACAATTATAGAGTTATTATTTTATCACGAATAAAGCTTTCAATGAGTAAAACTGGCTGTCTATAGTATTATAGATTACACAACACTATAATAATATTTTAAAATTAATTTTACAATTATTATTTTAATTTATTGTCCCCGGATTAGTAGGGTACTCTTGTAATAGTGTAGCAGTGGCTGGGATAGATTTTAAATATCAGTTCCCTTAAAAAGATGCAATCTAATCCTGTTTACATGAAATAAGCCTGCTCCCGAGCAGGTTTAAGATTACGGACCTGTAAATCCAGGATGAGCTTCGAAGAACCAAATAATCCAAGATCATGCCAAATCGTCGACAATCAAATCCAGCTAACCGAGTTAGCGATGTACGAAGAACAGGTCACAGTTCACATTTACAACTCTGCATGTTTGCAGCGTAAAAAGCTCTGCCAGCAGGAGGCGCTTTTGAAGCGGCAGAAATACAGCAGTTTCCCCGGTAACGGCAGAACACAAAGCAGCGCAGCAGCCTACACATTTCATAGTTGCTCCGCTTATTGTAGATTAATGCAAAGACTGCAATTAATGTATGCTGTATGTGGTCTTGGAAATATAAGCTCTGCCAGCAGGAGGCGCTTTTGAAGCGGCAGAAATGCAGCAGTTTCCCCGGTAACGGCAGAACACAAAGCAGCGCAGCAGCCTACACATTTCATAGTTGCTCCGCTTACTGTAGATTAATGCAAAGACTGCAATTAATGTATGCTGTATGTGGTCTTGGAAATAAACGATGTGTTAGTTTCATTTTAATCTGTCAATAGTCATTATAATATTGAATGTGGGATATAATGTTGTGAGATTAATGCTATAGGACTATATTTAAAGCATACCAAATTCGCGACAATATTTTAATCCTGACAGAATATAACGGTGAAAACAAGACATCATATATTGATTTAAATAAGCAATTAGATCATTATTGCAGTGATTAATATATTTCTGGTATATGTTTGGCAACATTATTTTAACTATAATTCAGTTTAATGCAGAGTAGCTTTTCATCTAACCTACATATTCCAGGATGACAATGTATGACAGTGTATGCAATGTATGAATACACATACACCCTTTGTGTGCATGCACAAACCCCCCCCCCACACACAATATTAATATATATTATTATAGTATATTAATTTGAATAGGTATATTAATTTGAAATTTTTTTTTTTTGTATTTATTTTTTACAGATGCTTGTTGCAACAATGCACACCATGAAGAAAGCTAAAGGTGGTCAAAATTAATTTCAGTAATCGGAGTATATATATCAGGGGTTAAGCAAAAAAAAATCCTGAGCCTGAACTTTTTTCCGGGGGTTGCAGGGGCGGACACATAAACAGGATTATTTGGCAAACAAAAAAATAAAATGATTTTCCTTTAAACTAACTAGTAACGTATCTGCCATTGCCATTAGCCCTTGACAGGCTCAGACTATGGTGGAACAGACTATGGTGGATATTTGAAACAGCAATACCAAGAAAGTTTGCTCACTACAATATGGTGCAAACACATGTAACATTTAGGATGATTTTGATATCAAGTTTTGCTGGTTAGCTTTGTCCTTGACAGGGTACAAGATGACCTACAATCTAAAATATGAAATTTCTGAAATTGTTTTGTTCAAAAGAAATAATGGTCAATTAAATACTAGGAAATGAATATAAAATATGAAATATACAAAGACACTTTACTCCAGAAAACTACAGTTCAGTTCAGTTAACAACAACAAAAACATTAAAATGGTCCAAGAAATGGTAACTTAAACAAGGTTCGTACAGATACTGCAAAATAAAATTCCAGGATTTTAAGGACTTGCACTACTTTTTTGGTTTTCAAGGACTAAAATCAGATCTCACTTATCAATCAATATTGTTATTATCTTTCAAATTCTAATAAATAAACTAATAAAACAAAATGGTACAAATAAAGTGCAGCACATGCAAAGAATGCAATGACTGTGGCAACTTTAAAGGCTTTTTTAAAGATCATTATTTTGTGTATTTGGTGTAACAGAATATGTTGACATGCTTTAATGTTCAAAAAACACA